TTTTTTCTAACTAAGAGATAAACTTGAAAACAATCTAAGGCAAGACTGAAGACACAATCTGTAAATGCAATCAGTGAACGTCTTTGTACTTTGTAGAATTCACCAACAATTAGTAACCAACAGACTTAAGCCTATGTAATATGACAAATGAAAGAAACAATCCCATTGACAAATAGTGATAACCAAGGTATCCTGTCAATTGAATTGGCAGCTCAGGGCTATGTTCTTGATAATTTTTGGAGTTTATTGGGCAAAACCTCACAACATTAAAGTTTGTTATGGTGTTGTAAGAAATATTAAAGTTTACACAGACAAATAAAACTTAGTAGCACCATACACACCTCCTCTCACTCTCAGCACTACTTCTAATAACTTTTGAAAATTCAAACATTTCCACCCGTGATTCCAAGTCATCATCACCAAAAAGAGAGGCCAACAAGAAACACAAATAACCAATATATCATCTTTTCCAGCTTAATACCAACAGAGAACTAACTTCACAACAGAGAACTATCTTCACCCTGATGGCACAACATAATTAGTATGCAACAGAGAATTAACTTCACAAAGAGTTCATTAGTATGCAACTGATCTTCAACCAAATAAAAATAGTAGTTTGATAATTGTACCAGTAATACTGCAGAGCTCACTGTTCTGCCTCTAATGTCTACTGTCTGATAATAATAAGAAACAAATAAGTATATAAATAACAACAACAATTCATATTTACATGTCCTAAAGCAGTTTGATAATTGTACCAGTAATAGTGCATAGATTAATAACCTTAGTCATATAAGTTTGTGCCAAAAAATAGTCAAATAAAACAATAGTAAGCTAGAAGTACAGGTTCCTTAATAAAATTATAATTAGATAAGAATCCAACATAAATTACTTAACCAAACAACAATTGGGCACATGAGAAAAGCCAACAGAATACTTAAACATTGTAGCGATCTAATCTTCAATTCCACATATTAGATATCTTAATGTGTTTGTACAAAAAAAACAATTAAATAACAAAAACAGTAAGTGAACACCATATGGTCATCACAAAAATAATGAAATTAAAGCTACTACAACATCGAGGAATAGGTAGCTTGCACAACAGAATTGCAGTAGCAAGGGAAAGGCAACATGAGATTCAAGCTCATCTTAATTATACCTCAAACCAAGAATTTATCGAAAGGGAGAGTATATCAGTAGTAGAAATGACAAAGTGGATGAATATTCAAGAGAAGGAAATCAAAAGCTCATTGGAAAATGGAAGGGGATGGAAATAATAAATATTTCTTTAAATGTATGAAGGCTTGAGCTAGAATGAATTCTCACTCAATATTTATTTAAGTCTCACTAGCTACATATATTGAAAGAGGTAGCATAGGTCAACATATAGAATAAATTCCCAATTTTTTTCTTTATTTAGTTCGTACATCTTGTATACATCAGTTAGAAATTTGCATGTGTCAGTTTATTGTGGTACATAATGAAGTTTTACTATTATAAAGCATGAAGTTGCACTATCTTGTTCGTAATTTAACATAATAGAAATAGAAATGAGTGTAACCGAAGAAATACACATAGAGAACAATCCTCTCCCTCACACACTGTTACAAAAGGGTGAGAAAGTAGAGAAATTTCAGTAAATGTTGAAACTTGAAGAAATGTTCGAAGCCTACCTACCACATACCACAGAGTTGATGAAACTGGATGAGATGTCGAGGACAGTTCTGGCTAAAGCAAAATTAACAAAGTGTTGAAGTGCTAAAACAACATAGGACTTCATTTAAGCAAAGAACTAATGCCGATAAATATATCCTCAGCGATTAAGGCAATTAAATGAACTAATTGAGATCAAGAAATTCTATCAAGAAGCAGGTTCAAGTTGTAAACAAAGTTTTAAAGAAGTTCAAACACTCTGATCCAATTGAGCTCATTTCGTTTCAGCTATGCCACAATCCCAACCTAAAAATTAAAGTTCTACATGCATCAAGAAAGAGCCTTTAATTAAACATTTAAAATTTTCGTTGATAACCAATAACATAATCTATAATTAGGGCAAAATAGCAGTACAAAGATAGCACCTTTAACACTTCACGAGAAAAGACTTAAAATAGTCCATTATCTTTGAGTTTAGACTCAAAATAGTCCTATTTTTTTTAGTGGAGCATTGATAATCCTGATTCTTTAATAAAGTGGTGCATTTTCAGTCTCCATCCTAACCACCGTTAGTTTTTTAACGGAGCAACAAAAAGATGAAAAGAAAGAAACAATCTCTAGACTGCAGTACATGTAACAAGCCTGGTCATAACAAAAAAAAACTTGCAAATATAATGTTATGTTACAAGAGACTACTTCAGCTCGTCAAAAACTACATGTACTACTATACTTAACTATATCAGAATTAGTCTCTTATCGATAATCTTAAACTAACACAACTTATATGTGCATTTTTTTTATGACAAGGAAAACCCGCAGCCACCCTTTAGGTGCGCACAGGGTAAAACCCCCGTTCCTATGCAATAGCTCGCAAACCACATATGAGAGGTAACCTGCACTAGGCAAGCCTGGTGCGACGAGCTCGACCCAAAAGGCAAACCCCCTGCTTTCGCTGGCAAGGGGTTTCGCACTTGAGACCTCCAACATGAAAGTCCCAAGCCTAAACCACTGGGCCACCCCGAAGGGTAACTTATATGTGTATTTATGATTCAGGTTAGAAGAGGACACGAATAAGCGGGACAAGAAAAGGCTAGACAAGAAGGAGCTGGACAAGAAGAAGTAGTTGATATAGATTCTGGTTGGATATACTTTCAACAGACACAAAGTTAAAATGAATCACTGGTAATTTAGCTTTTTCGAGTGCTAATATGTGTTAAATATTAATGGTAGTTTAGCCTTATCTACCCTTAGTTCTTGATATCATCATTTGCTTGGCAAAGCAACCAAAAAAGGTACACTACACTACAGTCTATACATCCAATCAAAAAAATATTAGCCCAACATATCCAATAAGACTTATCATCAAGACATATTATCAAAACAAACCATCGATGAATGTGATGAGATGGTTGAAATCACTTCACCCTTGACCATCGAAGGGTCTTTCCTGAGGCACGAATCCAAACATTGGTGAACACAAAAGAGCAAATGATTTTAGTAGTAGTAGCTATCAAACACAAACAATAGATATGTATGTCAACTTAGCAATCAACAAACAATATCAATATCACAAACTAATACAAAATCATAATCAATAGGTAAAAGGAAGAGCCAAATATCATAGATATAAGTTTCATAACATAGCTCATCACAAAAAGTAAACAGTCTGAGACTAAACCGAATATCTAAATTCAATAGGCCTTTGGACAGTTTAAGGGAAACGAACAAATCTAAAAGAGAAAAATAGGGCAAAGAATTAACTGATGTGGGTAGTACAAAAACGAGCTAGACTCCCAAAAATCAACAAAAAATCATCTCAACAACACAAGAATATCAGAACCCTAAAGCTAAATGTGTAACCATATGCAAGCATTAAACCCAGATGCCATAAATTTAGACTTTTAAAGATAATTGTTTTACTTGATAAACCCTATTCCAACAAAATCCTTTCAATGTGATGAAGCTTTAAGACACCATCTTCTGTAGTGAAGCAATTTGTTCTATCCTGTTCATCAGCTAGACTAGAACATCGAAAAGAAAAAAAAATCAGATTTGGAGAAAATTTTGTTCTTCAAGCTTATTAGAACATCTAGACGAGCGATTCATGATGAGCAAATTTTCAGATTAGGAGCAAACTCGTAGTCAGATCGTAAAGAACGTAGTCAGCTGATTAGGAGCAAAATGGCAGTAAATCGCAGGAGCAAAATCGTAGTCAGATTAGGAGCAAAATCGTAGTCAGCTTAGGAGAATTCATTCCTTCAATTTGCTGAAGAAATCATAGCAAAATCGTAGTGAAGAATCTTTACTTTATGTATTAATGAAGAAATACCTGTTAATTTGTGAGCCCTTGAAAAGTTTCAGATTTGGAGCAAATTTTGTTCTTCAAGAAATTGGGGAAAATTTCATATTTGGAGCAAATTTTGTTCTACAAGAAATAATATTTTTTTCTGATTTGGGGCAAAGACCAAATAGGTGAAAGGTTTTATGTTTAATGACATAAAGTATATTTTTTTGCAAAATAAAAATTGGAGCCAGACTTGAAAATGTTGGAGGGAATATAATATTATAGTGAAAACATTAATGCTACACTTGTAATGTGTTGTTTTTTCAATTATAAAAATAGCACACTTTAAAAGTGTGGTCATATATATAAATAGTTGTTGCCAATTATATCATAATATAATAACACTTATAAAGTGTAGCATATACCATTAAAGAGTACGCTTTACAAGTGGTGCCAATATTATCGAAGCCAAAAGTTAAAAAAATTGGCTACAGTTTAAAAGCGTACCCAAAAACATTTTAGGCAACACTTTTCAAGCGTTGTCCAGATTTAGTGTGGCCATAGGCCTAAAATGTTGCAGTGTCTATCGAAAGCATGTACCCACTAATCTAGGTTAACCCGTATTCCCGTCACATCCCAAGGATCCCTTCTAATTGCTTAGAAACCCTTGTTCATTTTGCTGTTTTTACCTTACTTGTGACAAAACTCCCCTATTGTTAATTGACACTCTTGTGTCCCCCCTTTAAATTTACAATATTTTTACTCGTTAATGTCTTTAGCTACGACTAGTTAGAACTAAATTTTATTTTTCTATAAATTCTCAAAATCACTCTCTTGGGATGATCCCAACCCTTGGTTGGGTTACTAAACTATTGTACGATCGTAGACACTTGCATAGGAAGTTGTGTCTTGATTACGCAAACCTCAAAATGGCGCCGCTGCCGGGGAGTGGTGTTATTTGAGAAATTTTAAATTAGTAGGATTTTTGTTCTTCTTAGTTGTAGTTTACTCACTTAATCTTCAGTTTTGTTTTGAGTATTTGTGTGTCACAACAGGACATATGAGTGCAAACGAGGAGAATAGCTGCCAAGCGGGTCACCCAGCGGGTCACCCAGCGGGTGGTGCTTTTCATCGAGACGACATCGATGCTGTTAATAGTGTTTATAACCCTTCTCATGTGGGCGAGATGGGTGCAATTTGTATGCCACAAGCTGACGGAAATGCAATGTTCAAAGTTACCAACGCAACACTCCAGCTCATACATTCAAGAGGTTTATTTGGAGGGTTAGAGCATGAAGATCCACATGAATATATATGAAGCTTTGTGGAAGTGTGCACCCCTTTATCATTCAAGAATCTATCTCAAGAATACATACGACTTCGCTTATTTCCATTATCATTAACCGGGGAAGCTACTAAATGGTTGGTCGAGTGTCCAAACAACTCCATCAAATCATAGGAGGAACGGGTTATGGCATTTCATGAAAGATTCTTTCCTCCATCAAGAGTGATGAAACTGAGAGACGACATTCAAAATTTCAAGCAAAAGGAGGGTGAACCAATTCATGAATCATGGACAAGGTTCAAGAGATTTTCGCATAAGTGGCCAACGCATGGACTGCCAGGTGAATTGTTGCTCCAATATTTTTATCGTAGTCTGGACTCGTTTAATAAAGGGATAGCTGATCAATTTGTGCAAGGAGGAATTATGTTACAATCATTTGAAGTAGCCTCATTTCTCCTAGATGGTATGACTAAAGTAAACCGGGCATGGTACACCAAACATGATCAGGTTTCCCCACTGTGCTTCCGATTAATACAATAACAAGTCGATAAAGAAAGGGAAAGGGACGAAAACATCAAAAAGATGTTGTCTCCAATAGAAATTCTATAAGAACATATAAAGGGGACACATGAAGTATTTTGAGTTGAGGGGGGTTCTTCTTCCAGTTACTCAAGACCGGGGGAGAATCAACGTTGGAACTCCAGAAGATACGAGGAGGGTTTCCACCCATGCTATCAACGTGGGGCAGAAATAAGGTTGGAACCATTATAGGGGTGAAGAACCAAGGAGATATTGGCAAGATTGGGTTGAGCAGGATGATCATGAGGAGGACATACTCACTTGAGTGAAAGCTCGAAATATAAAGGGAGTGCAAGTAGTCCTCGGGTAAATGATTTATTATCGTGTATACTCGATAAAGTTGAAGGCTCTAATGATTTGCTAAAAGGGATGAAAGATGACCTTTCATCATTGAACTAGTAAAGTGAATTCTCATGACGATGCCATCAAAATGCTGGAAAGTAAATTGAGTCTATTATTAGCTCAATTAACGTCCAAAACACCGGTGGAAGATCTTGAAAGAGAGCTGGTTGTAGTTACCCATAGAGGCAAGGTGGCAATAGGGAATGTGATGGAAGATGAGGATCCTCAAAAGCATAAAAAGAGCCAAGATGTGGAAGAACAAGAATTACCTATTCGACAAAACCTTACCAAAGAACCACAGAAGGAAGCGGAGCAACAAGTTCAAGTTTCAAAAGTCATGCACCCTTTACCCAAGATACCTCCACCATTTTCCCAACGTATGAAAAAGAAGAATGAAGAAGAGAAGTTCAGAAATTTTTTGTCAGTATTCAAGAACTTATCAATTAACCTTCCTCTGGTGGAAGCATTGTTGGAAATGCCGGGATACTCCAAATTCATGAAAGAGTTGGTTACAAAGAAAAGGAGTTTGGACTATGAAACGATTGAGGTGCCCCATAGTTGTAGTGCAAGTATGACAAATGAGTCAATCACTAAGAGAGAAGATCCTGGGGCATTCCCAATCCCGTGCACAATTGGCATGCTTCAATTCGCTAAAGCTTTGTGCGATTTAGGAGTAAGCATTAACTTGATGCCCTATGCAATATACAAGCAACTTGGTTTGGGTGAACCAAAGGCAACCACAATGAGACTCCTTATGGCTGATCGATCAATCAAGCACCCAACGGGGATACTCTATGACATATTGGTAAAAGTGGATCGGTTCATCTTTTCAGCTGATTTTGTGATTCTAGATTGTGAGATCGATGTTGCAATCCTTATTATTTAGGAAGGCCATTCTTAACTACCGGGAGAGCATTGGTGGATATCGAAAGTGGTAAATTGAAGTTCCGTGTGAATAATGATGAGGTGACCTTCAATAGTTGTAAATCCATGAAGCAACTAAGTAATATCTATGTGGTGTCTATTGAGGATGTTATAGATGAGGCAGTGGCAAGTGTGAGTCATTTAATGCGAAAGAATGAACCCCTTGAATCTGTACTTGCCAATTATGATGAATCCAAAGTTCAAGGCTCTGAGGAAGTGGTAGCTGCCTTATCGGGGTTAGGAGTATATTCAAGGAATCCAATCAAGTTGGATATCAACCTGAAAAATAGAGAAAGTCCTCCTGCAAAGCCATCAACAGAAGAACCACTGAATCTAGAGTTAAAAGCCCTACCCTCTCATCTCAATATGCCTTCTTAGGAGCCACTAATACTTTACCAGTGATTATCACAGCCGATTTGCTTGAAAAGCAGGTGAAATTGCTCATTGAAGTACAACATAAAAGCCATTGGATGGACAATAGCCGATATAGTAGGAATTCCTCCTGGCATCTGTACTCACAAGATTCGGCCCGATAGTGAATGTAAACCTAGTGTAGAGCATCAACGGAGATTGAACCCTCCAATGCAAGATGTGGTGAAAAAGGAGATCATCAAGTGGCTAGATGCGGGAGTGATCTACCCTATTGCAGATAGTAAGTGGGTAAGTCTGGTGCAATATGTACCCAAAAAGGGAGGTATAACCATAGTCCCAAATGCAAAAGAGGAACTTGTGCTGACAAGACCAGTGACTGGGTGGAGAGTATGCATGGACTATCGAAAGCTTAACTCATGGACCGAGAAAGACCATTTTCCAATGCCCTTTATAGACTAGATGCTTGACCGGTTATCAGAAAGAGGGTGGTATTGTTTTTTGGATGGGTACTTTGGTTACAATCAAATCTTTATTACACCGGAAGACCAAAAGTAAACCACTTTTACTTACCCTTATGGAACATTTGCATTCAAAAGGATGCCATTCGGGTTATGTAATCCCCCAACAATATTTCAGCATTGCATGTTGTCTATTTTTGTGGATATGGTCGAAGACTCTATGGAGGTATTCATGGACGACTTCTCAGTCGTAGGGGGTACGTTTGAAGAATGCTTGATACACTTAGGGCAGGTACTCCAAAGATGTGTGAAAACGAATCTGGTTCTGAATTGTAATATAATATAAATATAGAAGACATATTAAATTGGATGTTTTTATACTTGGAGTATTATATTAATTTAACATTAATGTTAGAAAGTGTAATGAGCATGTGCATAATGTTTCTTATCATAAAAGTCACAACCCTTTAGAAAGCTTATAACTCATCGTAAAAGTCATAATGCTTTGAAAAAGTCGTAACCATTCAATGTGAATTGGTGTCTTCTTTTAATATAATATAATATAAAATATAGAAGATATAATAAATTTGATGTTTGAAGAAGAAGAAGAATGAAAAACTTCAAAAAAATTTGAGGAAACCCCTCTTTTTATAGCCAACAAAGGGTAGTGTATGAAAAAATGTTTATTGTGCCTTATTAAAAAAGTGTCACAAACCTTTAGAAAAGTTAAAACCCTTCAAAAAGGTCACAACTCAACGGAAATGTCATAACTCTTTGAAAATGTCACAACCATTCGGAAAAGTCACAATCCTTTGAAAAAGTCGAAGCCCTGTAAAAAAGTCACAACCCTTTGAAAATGTCACAACTCCTCAGAAAAGTTATAACTCCTTGGAAATGTCACAAACCTTCAATGTTAAAAGGTGTATGCTTTTAATATAATATTTTCAATTGTCCATGTTGATCTTGACATGTCTGCCGTTCTCATGATAATTTCATATTGTCTCTACATGTACATGGAATATTCTTAGTTTAGTTAGATTTATTAATTATGTATCCTTTTTTTGTTGCATAGAAAGTAATGAAACTTTCCTCAAATAAATCTTCTTTCTAGACTATATTGTGACTGTATATTTCTTTCATTCATGTGTGTTGCTCTATCATAATCAACAGTCTAGTTGTTGACATAGAAATCCCTCTCAAAAGTGCAACGTATAATTTATTTATTTTTTGGTAAAAAGTGCAACGTATAGTTAGTAATGTGAGAATACATGTTCCGAAAAATATAATCCGACATTAGAGATTGCTTGTCCTGAGTAATCATTGCAAAGCTTAATGATAATTAATTTAGCTTTTTCAAAAATGGTATACATAGTTATTATGAAATAATTATTTATACTGATTTTAACTTTATGAATAATATAAGGTCAAAAATTCAAATGTAAATTCAAGTCAAATTTATATGTGTGTGAAAGAATAGAGGAAGAACTTAAAGGTGTTAATTTTTTTTTATGATGAACAACTTTCGATGCTGAAGCATTAGACTGTTCAAATAGCTATGAATAATTTCTTCACATGTGTGTATATAAAGGTATGTAATATATATTTTATAAAATAATTAAAATACTATCAAAAGACAATTCTGATCTCGATAAGTATGTGATGTTAATTATTTCCCCAATCATAATAATAATAATAACAACAATAGCAGGAAATTAGAGGATTATGGGACTTTAACGAAGCCAACTTTTCTCTGTCCATTTTTATAGGCTAGTTTTTTTAATTTACTTCATAATAACTTTTATATGAGTGATCATATTTTGTCAAGTTTTCCATCTTTGGAAAGCTATATCGTGGATTTTGCTCATACAAAATTACCCTCTTTCATTTATATCATACTATGTGGATATATGTGTGATCTGATGTGAACATTTTTGCCAAGTTTTATATCATAGAAAAATTTATTCATGATTTCTGCTCATACAAAATATTAGTCGAATTATGCATAGTCAATAAGTCTGAATTAATATATGCCTTTAGCACCAGATCAAACACTTTATTAACCTTAGAAAACATTCATAGATGAGATCTATATGTTTAGATGCTTTATTACTCTTCATGCCATATGTCAAATGTAATAGTTGGCAACTTGTGGGGGTTGGAGTCAGGTTTTCTTGAGATAGACGTTATATATCATTCAAATAGGTTCATAGTCGGATTTTGTGGAATATAAAAACCTGCTTTATACCTCCAAGTTTCATAGTATATAAGGTTGACGACAATTAGTTCAATCAACTATCCAAATATAGTCCACTATTCATAGACAATTCAACAATTCCGATGCGAATAGCAAAACACATGTCCCAATTTGTCAGTTTGATAAGCAAATAAAATAATATATTGGGGCTACTTTATTTTAGTCATTGATATATTGCTCTCATCAGACATTCTCATTAACATGTAAAGACTATTCCCAGTCAAAAGCACTCGGCAAAATTGAAGCTAATGAAGGTACTCATAACATCCATGCTGTTGTCGGTAAACCCTATAATCTAATTTTGTAAAGAAGCTCTTTTCATCTGTTTCTGTTGATTCAAAAAAATTCACTTTGCTGCATCAATGAGTCCATCAGAATTCACTCAAATGCATCATATCACCTGGTTTTTTCTCTTAAATAAATGCTCAAGTGCACCAGATTTTTTACTTAAAAATAAGGCATCAATGAGTGCAGTAAAGCTGAAAATAAGTGCACCAGAATGCAAAATTCACAAGTCAAATGACACCAAACAGCTATAATGTTAAACGATAAGTACAACCAAACTTTTGAATATATAAACTAAACATAATTGGTTAACCAAATTAACAGAATACAACAAAAAGTTCTACTATTACATAAACCAAAGGTTGTCCAAGCACAATGTTCTATTGTTTATTGTTTTTTGGGAAAGAAACTAACAACAAAAATCGACAAAGATGCTTTATCTAGGTGTGAACGTAGTAAATTAACTCTAAAAATTCCATATAAAATGAGGAAATAGTAACAGTTTATCTAGGTGTGAACGTAGTAAATTAACTCTAAAAATTCCATATAAAATGAGGAAATAGTAACAGTTTATCTAGGTGTGAACGTAGTAAATTAACTCTAAAAATTCCATATAAAATGAGGAAATAGTAACAGTTTATGTAGATTTAAGAGAACGGAGTCGGGGTGAATGTTATTCAGGTAAGTTCATACAAAATTCGATGATTTTGGACTAACCATGTCATGCATCTATTTCTGTTATTTTCAAAGGGGTTAAATCAGATGGAACAAAGTGTCCATTCATGTGTGTGTAGACAATAAAATTCGCGTAGAGAAAAACAATTATCAAAAACAGAAAAATATCGCAACAATCGTTTTATTGATCTCTAAGTTGCGAGTGTTACAATCTCTATGATTCCTCTGAATTTGCCTTTTCAGATATAATTCAAGGGCTCTTGAGCTTGATCTTGAATTTATCTTGAACTTGAACTTGAACTTGATCTTGATCTTTGATCTTTGAACTTGAACTTTATCTTGATCTTGAACTTGAACTTTATCTTGATCTTGACTTCTAGTTGATTTCAAGGGCTTCGAGCTTGATCTTGAATCTGGTGGTTTTTATCTTGATCATTCTTGAACTTGAACTTTATCTTGATCTTGACTTCTAGTTGATTTCAAGGGCTTCGAGTTTGATCTTGAATCTGGTGGTCTTGATCTTGATCGTTCTTGAACTTTATCTTGATCTTGAATTCTAGTTGAATCCAAGGGCTTCGAGCTTGATCTTGAATCCGGCGGTCTTGAAAGTTGAACGTTTCAATTCTTAAACTTGAACACTTGAATTCTTGAACTCTTGAGTTCTTGAATTCTTAAACTTGTAGCTTATAGAGAAATTTGTGGCTTTTAATCCATGAGCTTTCTCTAGCTTCTTGTTAGAATTCTTGGTTCCTTTTCTGAATTATGAGGACCCCTATTTATAGTTTTAAAATAGAGGAGTTGTGATTGGAATAGGATTCTCTTCGGCCAATCAGATTTAAGTAACATATGGGCTTTATGGAGCGGGCTTTAATTAAATCCATATTTATTATATTTAAATAATTAACTCAATTATATAAA